TCTTAGTGTACTCATCTGTAACAGAGGGTGCTGGACCGATAGCTAAAATGCTTTCCTGCTATGAAATATTGTGTTTTTTTAAAAAGAGGTAACTATAAATGTGGACACTATTATTTTTCCAGAAAATAGAGTCTGAAATATTCATAAGCAATGTTTATTCAAGGATTTCTATATTAGAGATAAAGAGTCTGTATATCTGAAGCATTCCAGATACCTAGCTGAATAGCATATTATTTTAGGTATTTTAATGGAATCACACACACACTCCTATCCTGTGGCCATGGGGTAAGAAGCGTGACCACCCTGCATTTAGTAGAAAAGCTTATCTGAATCTGGGTTACAAGAGCAGTTAATTTGGCTCTTTTAACCAGACTTGAAAGCACCACAATCCTGACATTATTAACCACATCCCAAATGAACCAAAGCACCTGTTAAGTGACACCTTTTTAGGAGGTCATTACCAGAGGCTACTCTCCTCTGAGACTTTGCTGCAGGGAGAAAGGCCTGACTGTAAAAAGACAGCCAGAAGTTGCAGCCAGAGTGTTCTCAACATTTTTAAAAATCTGTACAGTTTGCTGGAGCTGAGATGAAACATTTATCCCTCTCTTGCAACCGCTCTGGTTTCCAGGGAACCGACTGCTCGGGCTGAGGCGGGCTGAGGAGAGGTGCATCCGCAGACGCGCGCGCGACACACACGAAAGCCGGCTGAAAATTTTCAAAGTGCCTTTTTATGCCGTTAACTCAAAGATGAACACATTTCAAGGTGACCCAATCCTCAAGTGACAGACAGTGTTTTAAAAGGGCCAGAGCTCTCCACTTAAACAATTTCTAGTGACACGCTCACACTGCATCCTCAAGGGCTCTACCGGCTGTCTCATTTGCTAGTCTGTCTTTCCTGGCAGAGGCGTCCCATTTTAAATGAGCGCTTGAAGTTTGTCTTCCTTCCTAACAATTAAACTCCACAGGGCTTACATGCTTTTAAAAAAATTTTTTTAACTTAGCAGGCACCATGGAGGACTTTTAATTATTCAATTATACAACAAACCCAAATCATTACTTTGTAGTTTTTTCTATTTATCAAAACAGTACCAGAATAATAAAACGCAGCCTCATCAGTCATGCTTATAAGCAAACAGTAACAGACTTCTAAGGCAAAATCAAAGTTGGTGTTCAGAAAAGGATGCCCAATTTAAAATCTAACAATGTACATAATCATTAGGCTGACTTTGTTTGTGTTTCATACACAGGATATGATTTTTCTTTCTTCTTCACACTAAAATATTGTTCTTCATCATTATGGCAAACTGAGAAAATTACAATAGGAATCTGAAAATGAGGTCCCTGTAGTTAGTGAAACATGCCAGGCTGGTTTTACTCAGTTCTCCTCTATGGTCACTTCCATCTTACTGCAACGATTTCCAGGACTGCCCCCTTAGGTGACTGTGAGCTCCGGGAGAGCAGAGCCCGGGGTATCCTCACTTACGCATGCCAGCCACCAGCACGAACAACAAATAACAGGTGCCAGGGACAGTGGGCATGCCACTTTAGGGTTTTTTTATTTGTATAAATGTATAATATATAAAAATGGATTCAAAATTTTATTCTGGTCCTCTCCTACTTCCTCAACAACCGTCCTAAACTGGGCAAGGGAGGAAGGGGGATGTGAGCCTTGTAGACATTTGAGCCAGGCTGGGTGGGGGACTTACTATGGCCCACAGTGGGGTGTGGGAGTCTAGACAAGTGACGGACGCACTCATACACAGGAGTAGCCCGGAGTCCCATCACAGCAGGGAGGGCACAAACGGGAAGCCAAACATGGAAACTCAAGAGAAGCAGGACAAGGAAGCCATCCACGTGGATGGAGAGCCTGACACAGACTGCTGCACAACTACGGGGGGTGCCGACCGGGGCTGCAGCCTGACGCAGGAAGAGGACAGCACCCAGCTGAGGGAGTCAGAGCCTGAGAAAGCCGAGAGGAGTGTCTACCGTGGGAGGGTACGTACTGCCCAGCATGAGAAGTTTCACGTAAGGAAGAGAGAAGAATGGAATAAACCCTGTGATGTTGGACTAGAATTGGAGGTATCACTGTGAACTCATGGTTTTCACCATATAGAGATATACTGGGTTGGCCCAAAAGTCCACATGGTTTTTTCCATAAAGGACACATTTTTCATTTTCACCAATAATGCATTATTGATTTAGATATTTTGAGTATGTAGGCTCTTTCTAGCCACATTGTATGCCATTGATTGTTCTCAGTTAATGTCTCGATTTGATCACTATCAACTTATTGATCGTCCAGGGAGAAATCTCCAGCACAAAACTTCGCAAACTGCTTCTGACACATTCGATCAGTCAGAGCACCTTCTTCATACTCTGCACAACTTTTTGTGTGTGTTTCAGTTGCATTTTTACCTTTCTTGAAATAACAAAGCATAACATGCCAAAAATGTTGGACATTTTCTTCCATCTTTAATATTAAAATGGCTACACAAAAATTCACCAATTTTGATGTTTTTTTAAATGCATGCTGATATGATAGCTGTCACAACACAATCTAACAAAATTGTTTCAAATGAAGTTAAAGACAACTAACTACTACTAAAGCCATTTTATGGGAAAAAAAAAAAACTTTTTGGCCAACCTAACTAGATGAACACAGAAGCATGTATGCGTGTAGTACATACATTCTCCAGCTGTGCCAAGTGACAGGCTTGGGGACAGAGACACTCCAGTCACCATGAGCATACCTATTGCCCAGATCCTGGTGTCTAAGTACTATTATTCAAAGAAAGAAACGCTCTTTGAAGAAATAGCTGACTCCAGTTCTAGGATGGGGAAAAAGTATTAAATAAGCCTGGAATATCTGCAAGGCCAGAAAATAAGGAAGTACTTTAAAAATAATGCAGTATGTCAAAAAAAAAAAGAGAGAGAGAGAGAAAGGCCAGGGTAAAAGGGCTCCCTTTAGCAAAATCTGAAACAATTTGAATATTAAATAATAACAGTAACAATTCAGGAAATCTCAAATATACACTAATATAAACAAATAAAATGAAAGTTTGCAGACTAACAGGATACCTAAACAGTTTCAAAGTGCCACCCTCAAACAGAGCTATCTAATTTCTTAAATAGACAAAATGGAAAATAACTATTGATACATACCATATTTGCAATTATTTTCATTGTACCTCTGGCTCAATGCCCAGCACCCAAACCAGACCAGCTCCTTAAAAGCAGGGACTATCCTTGTTCACCTTACATCCCCAGGGTGGTGACAGTACACAACTGGTACCCAGTAACTATTTATTGAATGAATACATGTGCTTCATAAAATGCCAAATCCCATCATGGTTCTCAGTATGGCAACGAGCCAAAGCTGATCTCCTTTATCATGTTTTAAATAAGTAAGTTGCCCTTCCTGTTTGTCCTGACTTGGATTATAGAAAGTGCCTTTACAGAGCAAAACAGTCTTTACATTCCACAGTAATCATGATCTCTGATGATTTCAATTTGTGGATATACGCCTACAACGATCTCTTGTTAACATAATGCAGGAAATCCACAGAATTGTCCCCATCCCCTCCCAATTAAAAGTCAGTCTTCAGTTACTTTTTTTCTGCTGTTTTTCAGATACCCTTGCAATTTTCCTTTTGCCAATTATATCTCAATTAAAAAGAAAGCAAAGATGGTTTAACTGTATTTCTTGAAAGAAAATAAGTAAGTGTGTAAGTTTAGGGGAAATAACAGGGCATCCTCTGTGGGTACAAAGTCACACAGTAACATCCCTGAAGATCCCAAGTAAGACCTACAACACATTGCTGTGCCCCATCCACCGTCTTTCAGGGTCTTCTAATCCAGGAAATAATCCCTTGTTACTAAAGTCCACATTCCAGAGACAGAACTAGAGCCTAAAACATAATCTCCTTAAAGGCAGTGACTAAATCGTAATCAACTTGGTGGGGAAATCAACTGTCTCTCTAAAAACACGTTCTTACCATTCAATAGAAGTTCTGGACTACCTCTAGATCGTTTAATTAAAACAGATACTTTTACAGGAAAAAAAAGTACCTTGTGTGCTATATATAACTTAGTTAATTTTCTCAAAATTAGAACTAAAAACAACTCTCTATATACTATTATTTATTAACACTTACTCAGTATCCACAATGTACCACATACCTCAAATCCTCTTATTTAATCTCCAAACCACTTTATGAGGCAAATACTATTAGAAACATCTTATAGATAAAGAAACATAAGCACTGAGTGATTAAGTAATGTGCCCAAAGTCCCACAGCTACAATGAAAATCCATGATACAGATACCCAGGCTATAAAGCTTTAACTGAGATCCTTAACCTTTGGCCGAATCGTCGTTTTGCTATGCTTGAATTACAAATTTTTCACATTTTTTTGAAATCAAAAATGATTTCAAAATGAATCAGAACTAAGTTTTCTTGCCAGTAACATTAAATAATATTAGCGAAATAAAAATGGTGAAATTCATTAGGCACTCCTACAAATCTTCGTACCCCTAAAATCATATGCAATTTTTGTAAATTATGGTACAGAAGCCTGACAACTTTTCCACCAGCAAGGTCACTTTGGGGATACAGCTGTGTTGAAATTATCTGTGGAGACGCAGCAGGGGATCACTCAGGAATTCTATTAAGAGCGGGCAAGGAAAGTTATCAACTATTTTTTGTTTGTGGTTTGGAGGTTTGTTTTTGTTCTTTTGCAATCAAGGAGCTAGAACGTAAACGAGTAAGTGGGCAGATTAAAGTGGAATCCCTTCGCATTTCTTCCGCTTAGAAAAAGGAGGCTTGGGGACCAAAGACTGCGGGAACCTGCCCTAGAGTCAGGTCTCCCTCGTTCGGCCTAGGGGTGGGAGCGGCCCCAGTGCGCTACTGCCCGGCCCGACGGCTTCCGGCGCGCAGCAAGGGGCGCCGGGCTGGCGGGGAGGAGACTGTTGCGCAGGAGGCGAAGAAGAGGGGTCCTTACCGAGCTCGGTGCCCGGGTTGCGCGCCGACATGGTGTGGGCTGCTGCAGCAGCTGCCGGTTCCCCCTCCGGAGTTCGCCTCCGCCAGCCCTTCCTCCTTCCCCGCGCCCCGCGAGAACAGCGCGATCGCCCCGCCCTGTCCCCTCTCGGGGCGGAGCAGCGCACCTTGGCCCTGCTTTCAGGACCCTGAGTTTGCCCGCTGCAGGGAACCCTTGCCGCCTCGCTCTCTGGTCCCCTCCACGCGGTGCGGAACGCGGGCACCAGCTGGCGGAAGGAGCGCTCCCGAAACCAGTTTTAAAATATTTAAAATGCCCACCGCACAGGCTAGCAACGTGAGAAACTTTTGATTGGGAGATTGCATACCGAGAGGGGTGGTAGCTCTGTGGTCTGAACAATAACCGGGTCCAGGGGAAGAAGACCTGGATTTTCAGCCTGGCTCAGAACACTGACACTGTCCACGTCAAGTGTCTTACCGAGCTTCATTTTCCTCATCTATAAGAAATGGCCTCGACAGTTTCTTGGAGCTTGAAACTATGAATCTGTGACACTAAGGTTTGGGTTGTTTTTTTTTTTTTTCAGTCTGGTTTCTGTGGTCAGAAGATTAAAATTGTCTGGAGTCGCTCAACATGGGCTACTTGGTCAATTCATCTGTACTCACAGAGGGTCCTCCTGAAAGAAAACGTGCTTCAAAAATTTTTTTTAAGAATACTTTATTTATTTACAGGAAGAGAGAGAGGAAGAGAAACATCCATCAATGTGTAGTTGTCTCTCATGTGCCCGCACTGGGGACCTGGCCCACAGTTGAGGTTCGTGCCCTGACCAGGAACCAAACCAATGACCCCTTGGTTGGCAGCCGGCAGGCAGTCCACACCAGGCTGGACACAGAACGTGCTTTTAGATATATGCTGGCATTTGAGTCATAGAACAATCCTGCCAAGTATTATACTTCACTGTTAAACCTACAGACAACAGAGTTCTTATTAGAAAGGCATCCTGCTGTAGTGGAAACTGAGTAGGCACAGAATGCATAGAACCCCTGAAAATACTAGCAATTCCACTTAATAACTGGGTGGTTCTAGGAATGTTATTGTCTACTGCTCTGAAAAATGGGGATAATCAAAATATATTTGCCTGTCAAGTCGTTGCCTATGTGTAAAGTACCTAGAACATGCCAAGGCATATAGTAGGTTAGGTGTTCAGCAAATGGAAGTTGTTAATATTATTCCCAGGTTCACAGGACAATTATGGGACAAACTAGGAAAAGCTATCCCAGTCTTATTTCCCTCCACTGAGCTGCCTCTCAGCCTTCTCAACACTTGACTGTGACTACTTTGGATGTGTCTATCAGGGGTGTCCAACCTGTGCCCTACAGGCTGCATGCAGCCCAAAACAAAATCATAAATTTACTTAAAACATTATGAAATTTTGTTGTGTGTGGGACTATATATCACAATGTATTTAATGTGTGGCCCACGAAAACTCTTCTTCCGGTGTGGCCCAGACACACCAAAAGGTTGGACACCCTGGATTCTATTCATGCGTATAATAACATTTCCCCTTTATTTTTATTTTAACCCTGAGAAAGAGAAAAGCAGTCGCTAAAAGCCTAGAGCTGGCCTGGCACAGCTACATCGCTGTGCTCTACAGTTCAACATAAACAATTTCACAGAACGCCAACATCAGCTAAGGCCCTCGTGACCATGATGAATCAACAAAAAACAAGGCCATTCAGAATCATGTCTGAACACAGGAATAAAAAAAAAAAAAAAAGAACATTGCCCAAACCACAAAAATGACCTAAGAGCTTCCTCCTATCCTAGCTAATAAAGTGAGTGTCACTTATACCCACCATATACACATCTCTACCCATCAGTTTTAGCCTTATCCTATTCTTCTTGTGTTTTAGGTAAGAATTAAGATAACTTGTCACAGAATTAGCACCACTTCCTGCCTGCAATCTAATCCAGAGCAATGGCACAGTTCCTTGAAACTTCCCCAAATCACCAAGCACAGGCCCAAACCCCATGTCATTTCTAACATGATCTTTACTAAGACACCTCACAGATCCCCGTGGTGAGCATTCTCCCTTGTGGCAGTAAGTCAATGAACCCAAACTTATCCAACTACAGGTGTGTTCCTGGTGGTCTTCAAATGGAGAACATTGACATTCTTAAAAGATACAGACAACAAATAGAATTCTATTTTTAGGGGCAGATAAACTCTAAGCCAAATGCCAAGCCATTCATTATACATTCATGTATAATGTAAATTTATTAAAACAAGACAAAAAGCTGTAAGACTTCCAACCTAGCTGAAAAATCAGAGAGGACAGCCTCCTACAGCAAACATTTTAGCAATATATCTGACAAGAGTTTCTCAAGGACTTTTTTCTAAAATTGACCTGTTGTACAGTACTAATCTGGAATTAATCTCTACAGTTTGAAAGTATGTTAAATTGGCAGCAGATAGCGGTGATAGAATGCAAAATACGAGTTTCTTTAATGGAGAAATGTTGCCAAGCTTTGCTTTGTGAGCTCCCCTTTTAAATGTATTGCCTTCTGAAATTTTAGAAGAACCCCTAAGGCAAGGCCTATCAGAGAAAAATCTATAGACCACCACTGCTACATTGGAATCTCCCAAGATTTTTCCTAAACCCGATTCTAGGCTTCACCACAGCCCTACGCCAGGGCCCTGAAATCTACATTTTAGCAAGTTTCAGCAAATGATATTTATGCAAGCTAAATGTAAAAAATCATCAACCTATGCACAAAGGAGAGCAAACTATGCAAGCCAGTCTAGAAATATAGACCAAACTGGCACTTACAAGAATACAACTATATTTTATTCTTTCAATCCATGAAGATTTTGCATGTCATTTCTTTTTGTGGATTTTAATAAAAATTTTAAATTTCCATATAAATTTATGCTTCCCACCCCCACTCCTTCTTCAATTAAAATTAAAGCCCCAGGAATGTGTCATATTTATCTTGAAGCTTCAAGAACCTATGTGGCCCAGGAGATAGGAGTAAAATTTCAAAGGTCATTGACTATTTGCTTGGTTTGCCATATAAGTAGTGTCTACTACAGCACTTGGCACATAGTAGGCTGTGAATTTTTGTTAGGTAAATGATTACACATTACTGTCTGTGCTATTTCCCTATAGTGCCCATGTTTTATCTTGTCCAATTTCATTTGACTGTAGTCTCTTGTTCTGATTTCTCAGAGCAGTCATTCCACTTAAGTTAATCCACTTAGACTACAGATTGTCAACCAGTATTTCCAAGTGAGATGGGGAAAGTATAGGAGCAGGGAAGACTAGGGAGGGGTATGAATGTTAGAACTGAATTATTTCACAACTGAAGGAAGACCAACAGACCACGTAACTCCTACTTAACAGTGAAATAAGAAAAATAAGAATTATTTTGAGTCTTTTATGAAGCTAAATTTATCCAATTTCAAGAACAGTTTTTCATTCTGAGACTGTGTCCATCATGACAACTTGGATTTTAAAATGTCCTTTTTTTTTAAATGAAGATTGTGGTGGTAATTTTCTTCTTTTCTAATAGCTTTACTTGGCAAGATTAGAAGTAGACCATTCTGTCTTGCCCACTTCCCTGCTTTTCTAACCCATTAGTCCATCAAATCCCAAAGTTAGGGAATTACTGAAAGATTATATATTAGTTAATATTCTAATGAGTTAAGCCCTTTACATCAATTATTTGGTATTTCCCCAAAATATCTGAAATCAGGTTTCCCATGTACAGTTATGCACCACTTCACAGCAGGGACACATTCTGTTTGCAGCATTGCTAGGTGATCTGGTCATTGTGGGAAGGTCAGAGTGCACTTGCACAGACCTACCTGGCACAGCCCACTATACACAGAGGCTATAGCCTATTGCCCCTGGGCTACAAGCCTGTACAGCATGTTTCTGTACTGAATACTGTAGGCAACTGTAACACAGTGGTTTCTGTGAAACTAAACAGAAAAAAGGTACAGTAAAAATACGGTATAAAAGTTAAAATGGTGCCCCTGTAGAGAACACTTGGCAGGAATACAACCTGCAGCACTGGAAACTGCTTTGAGTGAGTGGAGGGTGAAGGTGTGTTGCGGGCTGCCCTGCCTGGTCTCAGGAAGCTGTAACCCCCCGTGACTTAGGCTGAGTGAAAGACCTCCGGACCAGGAGCCACTGAAGGAGACAAAATTTATTTCCCTGGCATGAACGCTGCCTGTTCATATGCTTCATTCCTCATGCTTGAACAGCAGTCAGTTACAGGTACCAATTCTCTTGGATAGAGAATGACTTAAGACAGACATGTTCATGAAGGAATGACAGGGACAAGACTCACGGGGCTGTGGAAATGAAGGGGTGATGGACATCAACCCCTGTCCCTTTGGCTTTGTCAAAGCCTGAGTCCTTGTTCTTAGATGTGAGAAATCCAAGTCTCCTGGCTGCCTTTGTCTCCTCTGTTAACTCAGGATAGCAGGGGCAGCCCAGACCAGAAATGGCGGACCCCAAGGGTGATCAGGCCTGGGATATAGAATATGCAAGATCCTGTGAGATCTGTTTGCTGGAGGATGTTATTAACTTGGAATTTAAAAGCACAGACAGGAAACCAAAACTAGCCCTTCAAGCAATATGTTAAAAACCCCAAACCTTGCCGGGAATTTCAGCAGGAGTGCTGTCCCCACCTTTGTAAGTTGTTTACATCTTTTGATCTTTTCCTCCAGACTGTGAATCCACAAACTAAGTCTGTTTTCTCAATAAAAATCTGCTTGGGTATAGACACGAGGCACTTCCCGCGTGAGGAGTGGCCATTCTGTCCCGATTCCCCCACAGGACCTGGTTGTCTCTGTGTATGTTTTTAGCATGTTTCGATGAACATCCGCAGCCAAGATGGACACTGCTGGCCGGTATCCTCCACAAAGGTGAAGGCCTAGGACACTAGTGGACACTGCTGTGGGTGTTATCAACACTGCACTTAGGCTGCATTAAACTTATAAAACACAAGATTAAATCCAGCACGAAAGAAAATGATGCAATCGAGAGATGCCGTAAACACAAGACAAGGCTGCCATCGGTGTTACATGGCATACTGTTGTACAACAAACTTCTATTTGAAAAAGTAGAAATACACTCTAAAATAGTAAG